CGAAGTAGAAATGCAGTTCACGTCGTCAGAAAGCATAGCTCTAAAGGTGTTTAACGCAATCCATTCAATTTATCTGATAACTCTCTATAGACCTCCCTCCTCTAACTGTACTACCTTTTTAGAGGAGTTAAAAGAAAACTTAAAAACACTAACTAGTGAAAGTCATTTATGTATGGTGGGTGATGTAAACATTGATACTCTCAAGAAGTCCAAGCCGGTCGTCTGCGACTACCTCTCGCTACTTTCGGAGAATGGGATACATTCCACCATTCAAAGTTCCACCAGAGAGGAAGTGCTCAATCAGAAATTGGTTTCATCATGCCTAGACCATGTCAACGTTCGAACATCTGATGCTTCCGTTCAGTCCTCTGTTATTTCACAAAAGCTAGCTCATCACTACTTTGTCACCTGTCGATATACTTTCTTTTCCAAGCACCATAAAGAGATTCAATCAATATGTCAAGTAGAGAAACTTGATATAAACAGGTTTGATCGGCTGATCAAAGCTTTTGACTGGTCGGAATTCATGTCCTCGGTGGACACGATAAGCTTGTACCCAAAATTCATTGAAATTATAAAACGTTTTCAGATGATGTCAAAAACTGTAGTTCGTATAAAAAAGCGCAAACCAAAACTTCCCTGGTTGACTTCTGAAATTCTTGATGCTATCGATCATAAAGAGAAACTGTGGAAAAGGAGCCGACGCTCCCCTACGAACGCTGCTCTCAAACTGGAATGCAAAATTTATAGAAACCGTGTAAACGCTCTCCTTCGGTCTGCAAAGCGAATATATTTTGCAAATAAGATCTCGAACGCCCGTTCCAACCCGAGACTCACGTGGTCGGTAGTCAACGAGCTTAGAGGCTCTACAAAACAAATGTCTCCCTGACGCTTAGAAAACATTTGATATGAATCTGACTGTCAACGCGCTCAATAGTTTTTTTGCTTGTTCCACTCTTAGCTCATCTACTGCAGTGATTTCAACACCCGCCATTCCGTCTGTCTTAGAATCGGCGTTTCTTCCTCTTCTTTCTGAATTTGAACTGCGATCATATATTTTCGGATTTAAGCGCTTCAGATCTGCGGGTGTTGACGGTATTACTGTGAACGATTTATGTCGTAACTATGACACCTTAAAGGACGTTCTCCTAGTAATAATTAATAGCATCCTGGAGAGTGGAAATATCCCTGGTGAATTAAAACAAGCTTTAGTAGTTCCCCTGTTTAAAGGGGGTTCACCTGATAAAGTTTCCTCGTACCGACCCATCTCAATACTTTCTTGCATTTCGCAAATCTTGGAAAAACATTTATTACTTGCTATGTCTGGTTTTCTCGAAAAACACAATATAATATCTCCCCATCAATACGGATTTGTCGCAGGACGTGGTACTTCTTGTTTCCTTGAGAAAGTTTCTGATTTTTTACACCACTCTTTTGAAAACAACATGTTTACTTGTGCACTTTTAATTGATGTCGCCAAAGCTTTTGACACCGTAAATCACGACGTTCTTTTAAGCAAGTTACAAAGAATCGGCTTCCGGGGGCCATTTTATTCTTTGATTAAGAGCTTCTTATCAAATCGTACCCAGGTTGTTTGTGTTGACAACATTCGTAGTGCTCTGGCATGCTTAACATCTGGTGTTCCACAGGGGTCTATCCTGTCGCCTTTATTGTTCAACATATACGTAAATGACACCTCACCTGTTGTTACCACTTGCTTCATACATCAGTATGCACACGACACCGTCTTATTCTCTCGGAACCTAGATTACCAGCGGGCAATGGAAATGCTTCAGGTGGACGCTGTTAACCTTATGGACTGGTTCTCTACAAACAAGCTTCGAGTTAATACTGCAAAAACGAAACTGATATGTTTTCGTAATCCATTAAAAAATGTGAATTTGACTTTCCCCTTATATCTTCATACATCTAACTGCACATGTACCGATTGTACTCCAATACAATATGTTGACTCTATGAAATACTTAGGTGTTCACTTTGATTGTGATTTAGCGTGGGGTACTCATATGTCTCATTTATGTCAACGTCTTCGAACAGTCTGTTGTTTCATGTACAACATTAAAGGGATTTTACCGTTATCCATTAAAAAAAAAACATAATACACGCCTTAGCGTACAGCGTACTGAGGTACGGCATCACCGTATTTTTTAATTGCTCCCTCCAATGGCATTCAAGAATCGATCCGAATTTAAAGGGTATTCTCAAAAGCGTTGCCTATCACGCGCAATACTCTAGTACTGATAATCTTTTTGAGTCTCTTCAGTTGCCATCCTTTTACTCGCTCTTTGTTCAAACAGTTATCAGGCGGCACTTTTGGGAAAGCGAGTTCAAAATTCCATCCAATCCATGTCGTGAACTCCGATGTTTTGTTCCTTATCAAATTCCTTCGGTACGGACTCGATATGATGAGAGTCTGCGCAAACATAATGTACCTAGCCTTTTTAATGACTTCTCGCACTTGCTCAGTTCCATCACCTCTAACAAGCAATTGAAAAGGAAGCTGCAAAATGTATTTTCTGACATTACAAGACAGTAACCTGGGCAATGGTTTTTTTAGCGACCTGCATCTTCTGCTTATGCTACCCGCCCTACCTTTCGGTGTCCTCCCTGCAGCATCAAGTGTTCAATTATGCTTAAATTTATCTTTTTTTTTACATTTACGATCATACCGAATTCAGTCGCCCAAGATGCCGCATGTATGCTCGTCTGCGTTTGCTTTATTTCCTTTTTCTCTTCCACCTCATTCTAGGACTTATCGTGCCACGTGACCTCGCACTGTTCTCCAAGGCCCTCCGTGGTTCTACCAACTGAGTGATTGTTGGCGTGTGCTCGTCGTTGTCGTGCCTGTGCGACTCGAAGGATCTACAATGTTGATCCAACTGAGTGTGTGTTGTGTTCTCGTCCTCGTCGTGCCTGTGTGACTCCTGGGCCCTGTGAGGCTTAGCCTATTTCTGTGTGTTGGTTGTATGTTCGTCGTCGCCGTGCCTGTGATACTTTTGTCAATTAAACTGCTGGGTCTGATCCTACAAGCCCCTGATGGCTTTGATCGGACCCGAAACTGAACTTGGTACTGGGCAATTTGAGAATAAAGATTTATTATTATTATTATTATTATTATTATTATTATTATTATTATTATTATATGCTTTAAGATGCTTGACTCAATACACAAGCTTGGACTACGACTTTATACAGGTCCATTTCGAGCATCTCCTGTGAAGAGTTTTTATGCTGATACGCATCAAATGTCCCTCGAGAAACGGAGGCGGTGCCTAAGCGTCTCTTATGCTTACAAAGTATTTTCCAATCCAAAACAACTATCCTACAGTGCCCTTCATACTTGCAGAAGTTCACAGCTTTTCGATAACAAGCCGAGCATTGTTAGACCAGTAAGCCTCCATTTGCAAAGTACTTGTCAATCCCTTAATATCCCCCTCCATGAAATTCCCTTGCGTAAAAATACTCGTAGGATTGCACCTTGGGATGCTCTGACGATTTTCTGTGACTGGTCACTCGCAAAATACAGTAAGCGGGTCATTTCACCACAAATCCTCCGGCAGGAGTTCCTCTCCTTACAACAAAAATATGGAGACTACCTGGAGTTTTATAAAGATGGGTCCAAATCGTCGTCTTTTGTAGGGTGTGCTCCGTAATCGGCCTCCTACAGCAAAGGCAATCAAGCTGACTGCATGGCAAGCATTTTAACCGCAGAGCTTTATGCTATTTTACTAGCGGTCGAAAATATACTCGAGAATAGTATAATTAAAGCTGTAATTTTTGTGGACTCACAAAGTGCCTTATTGGATGTGTCCTCTTCGATGCCCACAAAGAACCGCCTTGCACAAAATCTACATGGTAAGATCAACGGCGCCCTGCGACAAGGTCGGAACATTAAGTTCTGCTGGGTGCCAAGCCATGTTGGGATTTTGGGCAATGAAGAGGCGGGTGAATTGGTCGCGTCTGTTCGAGGCTCATCTGTAACATTCGATTGCTTACCCTACCAAGATAAGAAAACACTTTTGAGGAAATATTTTTCTCGAATGGCAGCTGGAATGGGATACAGAGAGCAACAACAAACTTCACATTATGAAGCCCGCTCTGGGTGTTTCGGAGAGCTCTTATAAAAGGGAACGTCGTGTGGAGATTCTTCTGTGCCGTCTAAGAATAGGTCACTCCCGTTTGACACATCAGTACCTGCTTCGTGGTGAAGATGTTGCACTATGTGAACATTGTGGAGAGCTTCTGACCGTGTTGCACTTTTTGAGGCATTCTTCGTCCCATCAACCCTCCGTCAATCATCTTTTCTCGAACTTTTCGGGATCATCTCCTATTTCATCCCTGGTTTTTGCTTGGCGATAAACCTTTAGTTCCTTTAGGCCGTGTCTTAGACTTTTTAAAACAAACTGGATATTTATACTATTTGTAAATATGTATCCTCAAAGTAAACTTTTGTTATAGTATGCTCTAAATACGTTAAGTTTGGCGCATTATGGCCCTCGTTGCTGCTGTGACAATAAACTCATAATCATCATCATCATCAGCATGCGCGTGAACGCAGCAATCATTTATTTATTTCCTCGCTCACGGACCAAAGGCATTACAGAAGGGAATGGACAAAAAGCAGCTAAAAACATGCACAAAAAAAATTGGGCAGATGAGAATAAAACAATGGCATCTTATTAAATGCGCAAACTTATTTAGAAAATTAACAAGCTTGTAAATGCACCTATTTGCCAGCACGACTTTTTGTTGAAGGAATAAGGTTCCTCCCGAATACAATTCAGCTACTTGAATAAATTCGACTGCCGTTTTAAGGTTTACAAAATGTTTCTACTGAGATTTTTGTTTTGTCTTCTCTGAGTCTTCCTTCGTGCTATATGTGTCAACGTTCCTCAAATGTCATCCTGGGTTCGTCCATCTGTCAAATGGCCGAATAAGCGTCTAAGAAAGCAAAAGAGCAGATGCTGGTGCCATGGCGGTCAAGGGAGATCGAGGTCTTTCCACAGACACATAACGTCGGTTCCTTTCGTCTTCAGCGCGATCCTCCCCTTCATTCGCTCAACCTGCAGGGGGGAAAAATTATTTTTCCAATCTCCGACGACGCCCTTGCGTACAAGGTCACCGCTGAACGATCTTTCAACGGTACCACTAAAAAATGCCGTCTTTGTTCCAACACCTTCCGGCAGCGTACTTGCCTCAGTTACACGCCTTTGGGTGACTTTCTTCTTCATCTCCTCCTCGAGGCCTTTCATAGACTCCAGGCCCACGTTAGAGACGATTCGCTCGAGAAGTTCGGGCTGGTCCCGGAGCTTCCTGCCGTACTCTTCGCCGATGAAGTCGGCCACCTTCAAGACGCACAACTCGATGTCCTTCTTGAGGTCCTCGTAGGTCATGAAAAGGACGTTGGGGTCTCTGCGATGCGCGTACCAGGACAGAAGATGGTCGAAGTAGTCGCCGAAGCTAACGTTTCCTCGGACGAAGGACTCGAAGAACTCGTCGAAGGTCCTGCCCTTGAACTGGTGGGCTCGGGGTGTTTCGGCGTAGTGATAAAAAGAAACGCAACAATCGTACGGGTTCCTCGAGATGTAAATGTACTTGGCACCTTCCGAGTACGGCTGCTTGCTGAACGGCAGGTGCGTCTTCATTGCCACCGGTCTGGGAAAGTCTTTGTCGTCTCGGATGCCTTTGCGCTCAAGAAATGGCACGGACATGAAGACGTCTATCATGCTCGGCGGACGGATGCCATCGTTGAAGATGTTGTAGGTGATGTACTGCATCCAGGTTGTGCCGCATTTGGGATACGATACGATGAAGATGTCGCCTTCCTGTGGCTCGTAGGAGAGCACTGATCGGACGGTCGTCTCCTGGAACTCGCGGCCGATGTATAGGCCCTCTACGTCTCTGTACAAAAGGTAGCTCATCCTTCAATTGTCAGGGATTCGATCTGCGAAACGAGAAGCAGGAGAATAGCGTTTTGAACATGATTTAGGCAATAAATAAAGTTAAGCGATGAAGGATAGGCTTGTTGTGGTCAGACTTCTACGGTTAAAACTATTTAAAGCAACTTAATGAGAACACTCATTGCACTCCGTTCGTAGGTTTATTTATACTCTTTTTTCACGTCTGTGTGGGGTTCAGAAACATCACATAGACCCATTAGGTAAAAGAACGCTATCTTCCTCAACTAACCCTGGACGCCAGCTTGAAGGATACCGCGTCACTCGTACAAGTATGGGCATGTTTCAATGTTGCAAAACTATTCACAATACGTTCGCGTTTTTTTTTAAATTATTTTAAAGTAAGATGGTGGGAGGCTTGGTTGCCTGAGTTAGTGAAGAAACTATTTGTCTTTTCCTGCCGTGATGTCCACACTGAAAGACAGCCATGATCAGGGTGGCGCCTGCCCTTTCGACGTGGCGAAGCCCGTTTGACGCGGAGGTTTGAAAGTGACCCTGATACACTGCACTATCCCCCTTAAGTGAGATTGTAGTAACTCAATCTGTTAGCCTAAGTATACGCTCCTCGCTAGCGTAGTGCACCGCATTCGTTTTCAGAATTAATCTTGCAATTACTACTTGGAAATATTCGATTTTATATATATATATATATATATATATATATATATATATATATATATATATATATATATAACTCTTATATCGAGTTAAGCGTCCGAGTCTACCCCTTGTAGCTGAAAAGGGAGGTTGGTAAGCTACCTTTAACATATGCCCTCCTTTAGTTAAAGACATTTATGCGCCGTGTGGTAACGATCTCTAACTTTGTTTACTAAAGGTAACTTAGCTAAAGGTACTTTTACGCTACCATGTAAATGTGGTATTACAGTGTCAGTACTCAGTTCTCCATTATTGTTATGAGCGCCGCCATCTTGCTGCCCACTACAGAGCGGACCCGAATACCCATCATCATGATTCAAAAGTGCGACTTCCTCAGCAACCATGATTTTAGGCACCAAGGTGGGTAAGTGTCGTTACTTTGAAGCGTAGCTTCTCTAGTCGCCACAATTGTTATGATATGTTAACAGGTAGCAGAGAGCGTGCGCCAGCATCATGTCCGTCTTGCACCCCGGTTCAACTTGCGGCCAAAGCACTCCCCCAGGCTCCCAGTTCGTCCGCATGTCTCAGTCTCCCCGCATCCAGTGTGAGTGTCTTGCCTTCGATAACACTTCGGCGACTCGTGAATTTGGAGTGTGCTTGCGAAGCTTAGGTACCACGGAAGGCAATAAACGTATGCTTGAGGATGGGCATCTGAAAAACGACGTTTCAGTTACACCCGAGGAACGTTTTTTTTTCTTCGTCTTTCTTGAAATGGGGCAACGCCTGTACCCCTTTTACAGACACATGGCCAACTTTCTGGGACATTCTGTGGAATAAAAGGTTTTCAACGAATATGAAAATTCCAATTCATTTGCGTTCTATCATACCTTTTCAAGTCCTCGGAAACATTACAATTTTTTGTCCAGAAAATCAAAAATTTATAATTTTGTAAAAATAACCTAAGAACTTCAACGTAACCAAAATGTACAGTTCTGGAGTAAAAACTTTACGCGCCCAAAGGTTTAATTACTGCATATTGATATTTCATGACCGTCATTACATTGTTCCAGGGAACGTAGTGGCAAGAGCGGCGCCCACTTACAATGGGTCGCGTGAAGACGGTTAACGTAGATGGCCTCGAGTGGCGCTGAAGTTGCGAGCCCTAGGAGAATTTGTGGCAGAAGGCAGAAGTGGCGATGAGCGAAGAAGAGGATGAAGTCTCTCCCAAATGTAGAGCCGTAGCACTTTTTTTTTTTTTTGTGGTGTAGCGGTGGGGTGTCTTCACCGTTCCGTTGCCGTCTCGGTCATAAATGCGGGGAAAGCGACGGACACACACACTGCTTCGCGCCATATGCAAGTCAGGCTACCCGGTCAACAAGGGCAGCGGGAGCACCTGCTATCATAAGCCGTCGCTAGTTCGTGCGCCAAAGGAGGAGCCGCGCAGACTACAGTTGGAAAAAAATCTTAATCGCGAAGATAAACGCCTCGCCGAGACATCAGCGTTGTGCGAGAGACGTTTTGAACCGCGCCTTATCCTTCGGGACTATGTGCACATCGTCAATGGCTAAGAGGTTAGGATTCTATACCGAAATATATTATGACTATTTCGTACTCTTTTTGCGTCGTATCTTGCTGTATATCTGTCCTGTGCTGGCTGTGCATGTCGATGAAATGTATTACCACTTTTGAGAGGTCATAATGCAGTGAGTTCAAAATATTTTTTTTTCATATTAGGGGATGTTAAAGTTTGCGTTCATATTGCATTTTATTGCTTCTCGTACTCCCAATCGAGGTATTTTTTTGATAGACTGCTTTCCACAAAATACAATTTGCTATATATTCGCCAGCTACAGTGGCACCTTGGCCATTCCCAAACGCGCTCGGCCTTGCACTCTACACAACGCGGGTTCCCGCATCAGTAACATGATGACAAAAAGAATGCACCAGTTAATGTTTCTCTCGCCATTATAAAAGTGAGAGATTTATTGAGACTTAATAGTCTATTAATTCTTCTCATATCAGTATCGTGTGGTTTCTTTCGCAGCTCTAAAGCGTGCAGCCTAAGTGATAGCGTTGCTGAACGACCTGTCAGAACTGGGAAGGGGGGGGAGTCGATATTAATTAAATGATCTCCACGAAAAACACGCCAATAAAGAAAACACCGGATAGCACACACTCTAGTGGCATTAGTCTAAAGGAAAGCCTACACTATTTCACATTAGCAATGGTCTGCGTCGCGAAAAGCTCCAGTCGAACCACAGAAGTATACGCTGAGCAGCGCCGACGAGGAGGCTGGCGGGGCACGTTGCTAGGGCTCTGAAAAGCAGCGCTACGGTGTCGTCTACGCTCAAAATCTTCACGGGGCGGCTGCCGCGTTTGCCATTACAACTCTCTAGAACACTGTACCGCCATCTAAAATATTCTTGGGGAACATTCCGATGCTTGTTCTTGTTCAGTTTAAATTTCCATTTTAGTACATATGCCGAGGCCTTGATGTCCAAGAAAGTTGGGGATGCCAGGGGGCTTTAAACCTCGCTCATCATAGAGTGCCTTCATGCACACGCGCCCTTTTGCTTCAGTGGTGACATCTCAGACATTTTTGCGCCCAAATATCTTTTTATGTATTTTGCAGTGCACGCAATCCGGTGTCACTCAGCTCGAGCACTCAGGTTTGGCTATTGCATAGACGCAATTTCACCGCCCAAGTGACGCATCGAGTGTGCCAGAGCGTCACGCGCTGGTACATTCAGAGCAAAAATGAATGTCTGCACCCTGAGACAAAGAGGCATGTAGGTACCCCAGCTCATCAGACTGGCTTCTTCGCTCTCTAACCGCTCATTCACACTGGAAGCGGATCCGCGTTCGCAAAGCGGTTGCGAACGCGGTTGTATAAAGATTCAGTGCAATTGCACGCGCACTTGATGTCATCGAGTGCGCGTGCAATTGTACTGGATCTTTATGCAACCGCGATCGCAACCGCTTTGCGAACGCGGATCCGCTTCCAGTGTGAATGAGCGGTAATGCCCGTCTTCCGGACACATAAGGCCGGGGCCATACCGCTCATACATCATACGAAAGACAGTCTGCAAATACAAGTCACCGCAACATCCGTGGTTCGAATGTCGAGTGCCAAGCTTCCTCTTTGAACTCATTGGCACGCGGCGTTCGAAACACATATCTCGCGGTTATTTGCGTTCGAATCTGTATGCAGACTGTCCTTTGTACGATGTACAAGGGGTGTGACCCCGGCTTTGCTGTCCGCACATCTGGCAGTGTGGGATGAATAAATAGCCGACATCTACTCGTAAATTCAATATTCACTCGAAGGCCCATTCAAATACCACCGAAAAAACATCACTCACCTCTTCAACGGTGATAAAGGACGAGCAAACTCCAAACAGTATGCGCCGCTGATTCCTCAACCCTGTTCAGCTTCGCCGTCCGTTGCAACAACCGCGCAGAACTGCGGACGTTTCCCCGATGACGCTACCGCATTTCACAGATTTGTCTTTTTCGCCATATCCTTATTAGCGACGATAACTACGGACCCGGGTGGACCACTCAGAGCGCCAAGCGAGACAGGTGACAACTTGTTGTCAGAGTGCACTCCTGCGGAAAACGGCCACGTGCTTCCCTTCCTCGCTTTGATTTGTTCTAGGGGGCCGTAGCGTTCGGCGCTTGCCAAGTTTTCCTGACACAGAGTTTTCCAAGCGGGTCTCCCTTTTGGTTCTTTCCTCAACACCGCCGGAAGCAGGTGCGGTCGAAGTGGGTAGCCGACCACCTGCTTGAAGAGCGTTTCGGCGTTTGAACATTTTGTCAGTGTTATTGAAATATATGTGGACAAAAAATGAAGCGACGTTTCTGTGGTGCTCCACTGCAAATTGAGCGGAAATGATCATTTCGGCTTTTTTCTTTATGAATATGAAATTCTGCCGACTAAAATGATTAGAGCCTTGTTCCCTCGCTCAGCACTCTGACCTAGCGGAACGAGAGCAGATTGCTTCTCTGTCCAGTCAAACGCTGCTCTTTCTTTTCTGGCGTATCATTGGCACAATGCGAACGCTGAGCCTCAATGGACCCTTGCTTCTGTTCGGCGATGTGTTCTGCAGTCCGCTTTCTTTCTCTTGACAGGCATTAAAGTGGAATCCAGCATAACATTTGTGCACACCTTTCGAAAGTTGCGGGAAACTTGGAGATCCAAATGGTTGGCCCAGGTTGCTCGCCCGCCAAATCCTCAGGGCTCATTTCCACTGTGAAAGGGCCAAGGGCGATAGGCCACGCGAGCGGCTCTCCGCCGCTTATAAAGGGCCATCGCAGCCTATGCACTACGGGTCTGGCAATCGCGGCGCGGGTGATAACGGTCGTTA